CTTTCCCTTTCCAAATTTGACCTTAGCAAATCAAATCAACATCTTTGAGCTTCTATTAACTGATTTCTACATTGATTTAGTTATAATAACTGTGCAGAGTTGTGTTGAGGATGAAAAAAGATACTCTTACAGATGTAAAGCTTCCACCATTGTTCCTAGAACTGGCATAGAATTGAGGATGCTCAGTACAAAGTAGCTATCATTATAAAGTTTATGTTTTGTAGGTAATAAAGTACTCTGCTAATCTCATTAAATCTTTGAATCACTCCTGTGAGTGGGTGACAGGTATCTTTGTCCCCGTTTTTTAAAACTGAAGACACTGAAGCTCAGCAGTAGGCTACAAGCACAGAAAGGACTCAGTAGGGCACAGGGTTTCTGGTCTGTGCTCTTTCTACAAATGGAGGCCTTGGGAGGTGGATTCAGCAAAGGAAGCTTCTTAACATTGTCTTCTTTCCAGTCTAACCTGACCCTGTAGCAGAACCAGATTGCTGAGGATATCCCAGAACTATGGATTTTGACCCTAAAGGATATGTATTTTATTAATCCAAGAAAGACCAGGTAGGCTAAGAGATGGCAAGGTACAGAATCATTCCATAAACTAAATATTTATAATTGTGTCCCAAATCATATTTTGACAACAAATGTCAGTCACCTAATACTGCAAATACTCTTGCTATGTAATACATATGGCAAGAAATAACAGGACCAGTGTCATTGAACTTCTTTAGACTACTGTGAATTTTAAGAAAAAAATAATTGAAAAATTAGAACATGTATGGAATAGAGTTCGCTTGGTTTTATTCTACATTACAAGGTAAAAATGTATTTCTCAACATGTATTTTGGCTTAGGAGGAAAGTTTTGTGCCATGTATAGGTGGCGTTTTATCAAATCAGACAACCCAAGGCATATAGAAATAACTTTAATTAAAAAACTTACATAGAAGATTATAATAATGAGACATGACAGAAAGATTTGAGTTTACGTGCCTGGACAACTTGGGTTTGTCTGGCTTTTGTTTCTTAAAAAAATAATAAATGTACAGTAAAACTACAATCAAAAATTTGTCAGTATTGAATTTTTTTCTTCTTAAAGGGGCTAGCATAATTTCTAGTCCCTAACAAAACAGTGTCAAATCCCCCAAGTCTGGGCCAGGATTGTCAGTTATATGGGTACTACAACTTGAATAACCTTTTTTACATGAGAAAAAAAACAATTCATATAAATTGTCCTCAACTTTTATATAGAAAAAAATGATGTAATATTTTCAAAAGGAATTTTCCTTAATGTACACTTCAGTATCCAGTATTGGTAATACTGAAGCATTATCCTTTGGATAGTTTTAATTCTCACTCTAGAATACAAGTAAGAATAGATGCTTATTTGAATAGAGTAATAAAGAATGACCAAATTAACTAGAAATACATTAATATTTTTATACTGACAGAACTTTCCTGTGTTGCTTATTTTGAGTTTTAAAGGAGGTAATAGTTTTAAAAACACCAATATTTAACTCTACTCTGCTTGTCCTATTCTGTTAGGGGTGCATAGAAAGTGACTTGTATTTAGTTCAACAGATATCACTGATTTCAAATAAAGTAATATTGTGTTACCTGGTATAGGAATTTCCATAAATAACTTCTATTACTTAAACATGTTTTTTTTTTTTAAATCCCTCTTCGTAGCCAAGACTTTCAGGTGTTCACTATCATTGGAAACCTGTGCTGCTTTATTTATACTGCAGCTTATTTCATGGGGTAATTCATACATGTATTTTGGAGTGGTATCTGCCAGTGCATATGTGTGTGTATATATTTATACTCTGTACACACATTTATATATTCCAGTACCATGTGTATAGAAAAAAGAAGACCTGTCATTTGCTGCACAGGTATGTGTGTTTCTATATATGTATGTGTGGGTGTGAAATCTTTTAAAAATTCAGTAATGTGATTTGACACCAAATTGCAGCAGTTAATTTTTTGGTGCTTATGATCTGTATCATAAACACAAATGACTAGCCACTTGTCTGTAAGTGAAAAGCTAGTTAGATACTCCTGTGGTCCAAGAAGGAGAGAGAGACATACCTTGCCTGTTGCATAGAGAGCATAAAAGATTACTATATGCAGTATATGCTCTTACTCTGGAATTGTGACTGGAGGGGCTTATTTTTTCTCCCGTTTTCCATTCAGTTCCATCATTTTTTTAACCTGTTCCTTGTCACCTATTTTTTTTTAACATGAGTAAGTCCTACAGCATAGGTTTTGTATTCTTCCATTCCGTCTGCCTGCCTTTTGGGATTTTGGCCGTTCTCTGGTGCGCTGGTACAGAAGACTTCACCACTGAAAGCGAGGCTTGAACTTTCAATCTGATCATTTTTTTTATCTTGGCATAATAAGGCTTCTGTGTCTTCATCCTTCAGCGGAAAAGCCCGTCGTTCCCACCACAAAGACTGAAAGAGAAAACATGCTCAGTTAAGTTTCAACTGTTTAAATTAATATATTAAGTGATCTGTAAATGTTAATTTTGTAATAACTATTGTGGTGTTCTTTAGCACATAAATGTACAAATTTTCATTTGAATTTAAGTAACAACTCAAAATGGAACATACTGCGAATTGTTAGGGACCTTGGGGAATTGTTCCCTTTGCCTCTTCCTTGAAGAGGAAACGCTGCCTTGGGGCACTGGTCTTCATGTTCAGCCTAGGGCGCTTTGGGAAAGCCCCTTTGATCTCCTTCTATACTTCACTATCTGCATTGGCATCCCATAATTACAGACAACTTGCCTGTTAATTTCTATAGACTCCATTCTAGATATGGTTCTTCTTTTCCAACACCTACGTATGAATAAAGGTGGGAGAACTTTATGCAGTGTTAGAAAACAGTCTCCTTGAGGTTAGACCTCGATCTGTGGGGATGGGGAGACAAAAGAGAAATAGTGGCTAATGTTCACTCTGTGCTAAGTGCGTTCTCTTTACTCAGATTTGTTTTGTAATGAAAGTTTGATATAATCCCATTTTCCTAACAGATTAATGAGTAGGTGGGATTAGGTATTGATAATCTATATAATAAAAGGCTAATATGCAAATCGACCAAACAGTGGAACAACTGGTCGCAATGACATACACTGACCACCAGGGGGCAGATGCTCAATGCAGGAGCTGCCCCCTGGTGGTCAGTGTGCTCCAACAGGGGGAGTGCCACTCAGCCAGAAGCTAGGCTCACGGCTGGTGAGCACAGTGGCAGGAGCCTCTCCCACATCCGGGTTCCTGGAGCGGGCCTAAGCCATCAGTCGGACATCCCCTGAGAACTGGAAGCAAGAGGGCGCAGGACACCCTCCCCCAACCCCCACCCCCAGTGCATGAATTTTATACATGGGGCCTCTAGTGTTCCATAAAAAAGATAAGTTTATAGTAACGGAACTAGATTGTTGGAGTACAGATCCTCTTATTTGTAGCCAGCATTCTATACCGGATTATCATACTGAATTTGTTATGGAATGAATGCTTAATTTGCAACCAGCAGTTTTTACAAACAGGTTTTAAAAAGGATAAAAGGCAACTGAAAGGTTCCATTTACCTTGGTTTCCTGGCTTTCATTTACTGAAGGTGAGCCATGTGCACTCAGTTCCTGACTCTGCGGACTTTCGGCAGCATCTTGCTGATCACTACTAAAGTCATTAGGGTATTCTTTCAAAAGTAAGTCCTGTCCTTCAACATTTTTACTGTAAGCCCTAGCAAGAAAATTAAGCATATATTTAATTATTTTTGAATAAACATGAACAACCCAAGGTGTTACTAAGTCAATTTAACTAGGTAGCTGTTCTTTTAAATATTTCTGCCCCCAAAGTGAAATAAATCCTAATATTTTTAGGACTTATTCCCCCTTCCCTCAAAGTCATGTTCAAAGTATTTTAGGCTATTTACTCTTAGACTAGACAGGATTTTATTTTTTTTAGACTTTTTTAAGAAAACATTCTTTTGAAGTGGTTGTATTAAAATAGAATACCCAATTCTAATACCTAGTATTACATACATTAAAATAACCTCCTTTATCTGGGAAGAATTATCACATTATTTGCTCAGTTAAATCTATCCCTGAGGCTGTGAGCATTAGACTGGAGTAAAATACAGAAACTCATTTTATCACTATGTATGAGCCCAAATATATTTTGAGTGTAAGCTCAGTATATGCAGTGTTTCCCTTCTAGTGCACAAATAGCTAAGGGTATATGGTATCTTTTCTTTTTGGTGACCCTTCCTCATTATTCATACAGAATTTTTGTGGATTCCACATGGATGCTATGGTTTTGGGTTTTAAATGTATAACATCTACCTGCTGTTTCTTCTGTGCCACTTGCTTTGTTCCCATAGTGACCATCTGGCTTGCTCTCTCGCTTCATATTTTTTGTGTCTTAGGGAGAAGATTTCATCAGAAAGATCTTCTATCTGGAATTAGAAATAAAAAGTTTGGCTTTTATCAGAAACATTTTGAAATATACGACCGGGTCTCAATTCCTCATGAGTCAGGAGAACAATAGAAAGTAAACTTTAAAATAAATGTGATCTAAGTCAAGAGAACAAATGTTAGGAGATGAGCTTCAAATTCCTATAAAAAGAGAGTTAAAAACATTTTTAAACTTTTTTTACTATTGGGTCACATTTGAACACTTACGTAGATTACAAATAGGTTCATAGGGCTTTCGTTTTACATAAAATATTCTCAATGCTCTATTTATTTAAAAGTTTGTACTGACTGCACAATATGGAGTACACTGTTCTAGAAACATGTTACTATCACAGAAAAGTAAAACTGATTGAGGTAAATGAGAATTAATTTAATGACTTACCTGGAGTTTTAAGACTGGTTATAAAGAGTATGAGTGTCCTGGCTAGGGTCATACTGAACTAGGGAAGAGTTCATGAAAGGTGAGAAGGGCATTAAAAAGTAAATTTTGGTAGTTGAAAAACACGATCACAAACATTGTTACAGAAACAGTGTCTTTTACATAATGTACTGTTTCTGTATCACTTTCTAATTTTCTTTGGTTAAATATTATGTTTTGTAATGTTTTACCCATATAGATCCATAATCCCTTTCCTGCAATTCAAAAAAAATCTGAAAAGCAACAAAACATGGCCAAGTTTTCATAATTCATTTGGTGACACAGACTGATCTCATGGTGTGAAGCTATTTTACTTCCTTATAAATACTTCATTATAGGAACATTAATATTTGATTGTGAGAACTGTCCTAGACTGCTTGCATGTATTATATGATGTATGCACTACATTATTTTTCTAAAGTCCAAAATTTTCCAAATTCCAACGAATTTGTTCCAAGACTTTGAATATGGTAGGCCTGAATATTAAGATTAAATCTCCTTGTGCAGGAAAATATGACTCAATACAGGAAATGAATGTAGAGATTCACATAAATTCAATATTTTAACTCATGGAGGCAAATGGTATATTTTCTATTTGTATATGAACATTTTGTAATCAAAATATCCTTTTTTTTAGAATGATGATTATTTTTATTTTTTTAAATATATTTTATTGATTTTTTACAGAGAGGAAGGGAGAGGGATAGAGTTAGAAACATTGATGAGAGAGAGACATCGATCAGCTGCCTCTTGCACACTCCCTACTGGGGATATGCGCACAACCAAAGTACATGCTCTTGACCAGAATCGAACCTGGGACTCAAGTCCGCAGGCCGACGCTCTATCCACTCAACCGAACCGGTTAGGGCTATAATCAAAATATCCTTAATGAAGAACTTAGTTTTCATAAACAGAAAGAAAAAAATGAGCCTCAAATTAAACAGACTTCATAATATATAATGTGTAGTTATTCTATCAGTGAAAGGAAACTTACCTCTTCATCTACATTATATTCATCCAAAGGCTGAAGAACCACCATCCTCCAGCTGTAGAAGATACAAATCAATATCAAACAGCTCTATGTCAGTAGTTATCAATAAACTGGCTCAGGGGAAACACACACACACACACACACAAACACCACCACCCTGATCTGTGGGTATTTGCCAGTTCTTTGTGTGAAGAATTCCATCCTGGCCTCTTTTGAGTTTAATAACTGCATCACAAAATTCCTCAATATTAAACAACCAGCTCAACCATCAGTTCTAGCTTATCACATAAATTGAAAATCGTTGCTATAGAACAACATAACCACAAATAATAAACATCGCGTATGTAGAATATATCAAAATTCTATGTAGGAATTCTCATCATACCTCAAAATAATTAAGAGAATCATAAATGAGCTGGAATAGAGAAAAGTAGGAATTATGGGAGTTGTCACCAGCTCATGCCCCTGTTTCTATCTCCTTCTGGTGCCAGATTCATATTAAGAAACTGCTTTCATCATTGCTAAAAAAATAAAAATGGTCTCACGTGGCTGTCAGTGGGAAGCAGGTCTATGTATTGCATTCAAGGACCTCCACAATCTGGTTCTAAGTTCTTTTCTAACATTAATTCCCTTTATGTCCTACACAAAGCCTCAGTCTTCTGGCTGAGCCTTGCACAGGTGTCCGTATGTGAGTAGGTCCACCTCCTCCATGATGTCTTCCCAGCCATCTTTCTGTTTAATAGGTTTATTGCTGACTTGGCACTACATCAACATCTTAGTTTTATTGTCACAGGTGTTACTGTCTTACAGTGTGAATACCCCATGCAAAGGTACTTGCTTCTTTGAACTCATTTTGCAACCCTGTGTAAACCTCCATTTTAAAGAGCAATTATTAATTAAAGTATAATTATTTACATCCCTAAAGTACTGTTTAGAGCCATATACATCATAGATAATTAAGTACTGAATGGGGGAAAAAAAGAGTTTCACAGTAAATAAGTCTTAGGAATTCCCAATTCTTAATAGAAACTGAGAAGTAAACTTGTGATGCCACATGGCACTTTTTTTCAGCATAAGTAATGTAAAATTTTCTCCACTTTCCCTCTATGGTTATACAAGTGGGAGGAAGGGGGAAAGCAGCATCTTCCTTTTATTAAAATGTTAACTTCACTCTGAAAATTTAAGTTTATTCAAGAAAAGGAAGAAAATAAAAGGAAGTAAGTATTACATACCTTGGAGTTAGTATTTCCTTATACTGGAGTTTCTCTAACTTAGCTGGGGCCACTAATGACATGGGAATCACAATATTATCTATGTCATAAGAACTCTCACTTCTCAGTCTCCGTCGTGCAGTATTCTGCAGCAAAATAGGATTACAGTAGTTTTACAGCAGTATATACCTGTATATTAAGTTTTGTAAATACATCATTAAAAATATGACTATAAAATGTTGAAAAGGCAAGAAAGTATACTTGTCTTCTATAACCCAGACAATCTTTCTATTTTTTGGCGGGTATGCAGTATACATTTGTGTGTGCACACATCACAAACCTATGTTTATGACCATAACAATTAGAAATGCCCTAAAATGCAGAACT